AAATAATGTGACCTGACAAGTCTCCACTTGGAATGTGTGTAGGCAAGTGAAGCTCAGCCCAGTAAAACATCCAAATGTGGTAAAAGAATGTCTCGTGTATTCTTTGCTATGGTCTCAGTCTTATTTATGTTGCTTACATTATAAAGGTCAGCATTCTCTGTGAGGGTGAATTATAAGTCACAAATTCTGTGACGAAGGGTCTATAATTACTAGACTCAAACCCACAGCCTTCTCCAGAGATACTGAAAGTCTTCCAACTCACCATAAATGTTGATCATTACACAAATAAAAAAGGATTTTAGAAAATGACAGAAAAAAAGGTTTATTTGACAATATGCTAGTATTTACATACCAGCACCTTTGAGACTAAAAAAAACTCAAGTGCATTTACAACTCATGTTCTATTTTAGTTATGCAGATACTCATCCAAGAGCAGAGGACTAAAGGAACAGAACAGCAGAATAAATATGTGTTTAATGGGCACTTATGAATATAAAATTAAATTTGAATATGGCCCATTAAACTCTTTATTAAGGAAATTCTGTTCCAGAAGACTCACACATTATTATTGGCACTGCTGATATGATAATGCTGTTAATGACTTGATTAGATAGGAAGCTTGTTTTGCAATTTATTTTAAAATGTTAAAATCAGGATGCTCAAATGTAATATATCAGGATATACCTTTAATACTATTACAACTCAGGAAATGTAACCAGAATTGAACTGTAAGTTCAATAGATCATATAGCTTGCTACCTTTATGGAGAACTATGACTCTAAATTGTTCATTAACCAAAAAGGAGACTGTAAATGGATTTAACACATAAATCTTCAAAATGAAAACTTTTATTTCTCAAACAGAAATAAATACCTTGCCTGACACATTTGATGAGTCACTTTACATAAAGATGATACCCCATCAATCGTTTGTCCTCTTGGTGTGAGTAGTTTGTTTTTTGAGGATGTGGGGCAGGGTGGAAATGACTCCAAGATTTTTAATGCAAAGCAAAATGTTTTATGTAAAACATTTTGCATAAAATACAACAAAATGGAATGAGAACAATTTATAAGGTGACAGAGTGGGTCAGCTCAATTCTATTCCAGAAACACTTTGTAGCAGTGATACATAAGAGAAACCCCTCTGAACGCAGACTTTGGAAATAATAATGAAAGACAGGACTATAAAACAGGTGCATTGGGAGGAGGAAGGGTGAATGGAGATGAAGGTGAGGGAATATGGTATATGGACTTCATATACATATACAAAATAGAATGATGAAATCTCTTGCAATTGCTTTACCTGGGTCTAGGAGGGAGTTGGAAGAGGAGACAGTGGGGCTGATCTAACCAATGTACAATATAAGCCTATTTGAAATTGTCACACAGCATCCCCCCTGTACAATGAATGTATCCTAATAAAAATGGGAGGAAAAAGGAATCACCTTGCTTGAGAAATAGCAATCAGTGGCGGGAAAGCAATCAATTACAGGGGTACTCCAAGGCAAAGGAACTACATTACTTATTAAGACATATAATCCAACTTGAAAGTTAAGCAGTTATTAGTAAGTTCAAAGTGGATAACAGGGAATTCAATGAGAGAGCATTTGCTTAAGTATGACATTCTATCATCCCACATTTCGAATTTTGGCAATAAAACTAGTTTTATTTCATCAGCTTTATTCATATAAAAATGCTTACTGCATTTCAGCAAACGGCACATATTTTTAACTTAGAGTACCAAAAATAATACACACAAACCCAAACACAATCAATGACCTGAAAACATTACTGCCTATTATGTATTTACTAAATAGAATTCTTTATACATCTATTATACATTTTCAACTTCTCCTTAATTGTTTGTTACACCAACATATAAATAGGGAAACAATGCTGGGGTCAATATACTTCCAAACATGGCCAGATATGCCAGAATATTTAGATCCTGGCATTTGAAAATTCCTACTCCAATTTTTAATTTGTCACGTTCAGTCATTTGTCCTGTTTACTTCTATAGTATGAGAATCACCATTTGAGTCTGAAACCTGAGTGAATAGTGGAAAGTCAGTCCAGTAATATTAAAGCTAATGTAGTTAAATTTGTTTTTTATTTAAGAAAAATAGCAGTCACCAACTTTTCAATTGAAAACAAATTTCTACAGTTCCTATTTTGCAAATTATTTTTCCTCAGCATTCTACATGAATTTTAACCAGAACTTCTCTGGAAAAAAAATAAAAATAAAAATAAAATGACCTGCTCTATTTTAAGTTATAATTTTCCATTTAAACAAACAATTTCAAAGTACAAAGTTAGCAGGGTGTAGCTAGCTTGGTGGAAGAGTGAATGCCTACAATGTGCAAGACCCTCAGTTTGATCCCCGAGACTGCAAAAAAACAAAACCCACAAAGTTCAAAGCCACTTTCTGAGCCATTAATCTTGACCAGCTTTTTATAATTACTATATTTGTAATATTGTAAAATGTCCTGTTAAGTCTCAAAGAATTTTATATACTACATAATGCAACAAATATTTCCTTCCCACCCTCCAAAAAAGAACACTGTCAATCACTTTAATTTTGTTAGGAGTCACAAAAAATTTATTTGGGAAAAATATTCCCTTCAATGCTCATTAGATAGTGAATCTTACTTAAGCGAGTAATTTTCTTTTCAATTAAAAAGCAGGCCTCTTTCTTTTCATTAGCACACTTATCTCATTCTGTGTCACAGATAAGAAATACTTCCTTCTACCTTAAAAATTGAGATTTTCGTCATTATGAATGAGTTCTTCCTGAATGGACTGCCATTGTGCTACTGCTAAACACAGTAAGGGAAAGGACACAGGGGACACAAACCATAAGCTATGATACTAGTTAATGAAATATATTACACATTGTTTAAACATTAAACAGCAAAATACTCCTATATTAAATAAATAAGATTTTAATTTCTCATTTGGGGATATAGACCAATAACACCAATAATGGGGACAGTCTAGTGCAAAGGGTGGCCCCCCACAAAACACACACACCCACACACAACATACACACAAATGAGAAAAAGGAGGAAACACAGCATTTAACACTGGTATTGTCTTCAACAAATCAAACCAGTGATTCTCACTCCCTTCTGCACATAAAAACCACATGGAGACTTGAAAAACAATTACCAGCTCTCACTCCAAACAAATTAAATCAGTCAGGACTCAGACATTAGATATTTTTCTAATGTGCAGTCAGGATTGTGAGCTAGTGATTGAAACCTACATGCTTTTTCCTTACTGTTACAAGACTCAGAAGAGTCTGAGGAATAAACAAACAGAGCCTTCCCTTATAGGTACAGCAACAAGGGTACCTCCGGTTAACAATAACTTATGGGTAAGTCCAGTTTATTAATGTGTACTTCACATCCATTAAATTGTCTACTTATGCCTCTTCATTCCCTGTAACTCTGTCTTCTCAAACTCCAATACCAAGTATAGTCAAATCACTTTTTTGTAATAAACCAGTTATACTGAAAATACATCATTCATTCATGCATATAAATATTTACTGAATGCCTACTATGTGAAGGCACTGTATTAGGTGCTGCTGTAGGACTGAGTTATGAAAGAATGAATGGTGTTTGGCTGATGTTTTTCAGAACTGTCATAAAAATTAATTACACGGTCGTAATTAAGGGACTAAACTGTTGGGGGGGGAGGGGGGAGGAGGAAGGGAGAGTGGAGGGAGGGAGGGCAAGAGAGACAGAGAGAGAGAGACATGGTATACAGCATATATGTACTTTTCCTCACATTCCATACAGTATTTCCAGAAGCCTCTGAATATATAAGGCAAATTTAAAATAGAAAAATAAACCTTGCTCAAAGTACGTGTTAATTTTAACCATACTCTGTATCAAGTGAATTTCATATATAATTATAAATACCAAAAATCTATATGGAAAGGTAGTTCATATTCACTTGTAGTAGTCCTAATAAGTAATCTTACATTAAAGTACTAACAGATTCTACCCTTGACTATTTCATCATGGCAAAAGTTTACACAACACATAATTTAAGAACAGATTTATAGCTGAGAATTTTGAATGTGAACAAAGTGAGTTTTCTTTTATTTAAAAAGGGGGTGCAAAGAAGGGGAAAATGTGGGCAGAATCTGTTCAAACCTTTTAAATACATAAAACCTAATAATTTAAGATGCTGGTTGCTTTTCTTCTGGAGAGCCTTGTGAATTCCACTGAATAAATATCTTTTCCATTTTTATTAGTATGGACTTTTGTGGTTACTTAAAAAATAAATATTTGTTTCTCATTTTTATGATAGTACTAAATTCCGAAAAGAGGCTAGGAAATGTCAGCTTACAGCTTAATAGTAAGAAAAAGCTAATTATACAAATATATATATACACATATATATATATATATATGTATGTATGTATGTATATATATATATGTATATATATATATATATAAACCTAGGACAGAATCACTGGGAAAAATGACCTAAGACTGAATGGTCAGCAAAGTACTAATGGCAAAAACAAGTTAGGGAATAAAAGTTCCCAGTAGCTTTTAAGTAGTGAAAGCCAAAATCAGGACTCAAGGAATAGGGTCATTCATTGGATTCCTTGGATGCAATAATACTCTTGTCTGAAGTAGAGAAATAGTAAAATATTTTACTAAGTTAAAATATAAGTTTTATATTTTATACCATATTGAAATACACACACAAAAATACCAGTGTTTTGTTTTGTTTTTGTTTTTATCTTCTTTCTGTGCAGACACTTTAAGTATGTTCTTTGGTGCCTGGGAGTTTATAAGTATTTAGGGACAAGGGAAGATAAGAAGTCCAAACTTGACATGCCTACAAAAGAAGACTGAAACCCTATGCCATATAAAATAAGAATCAAAAGTGGACTCATGAGAAGAGATAAGGAAGTTAAAGACATACTGGAATAGAGCTGATACACATTCTTTTCCCCAAAACATACTCTAGCTCCCCAAATAAAAATTACTACAGCCTATTATGTTTTAATCTGTGTTTTCAAGTGGAAAGATATCCCAGATAGAAATATATCATTCTAAGTTTTAAAATCATCAAAGTCAATGAGAAGAATGTACATTCATTAAATGTATTCATTTATAAAAAGAAAACAAGTCCTGGAAAGGCTGAAGAGTTGTTCTTGATTTTTCATTATTCCTTTTTAAATAAAGAGTAAGTATAGACATAGTGTACATACAGGTTGACATTTTGATGAATTCAAAATAGTCACATCCCTTTGATGGGTTTTTGAAGTTCCAGAGTCTAAAATTTAATACCACTCATAACACAGTATTTTCAGTAAAAGGAGCCATAGAGCAATGAAAAATCAGAAGCAAGATGGCCTTATAACCTCTAAATATACACACATTTATAACCTGTATTTCTAAAGAAATGAATTTTAAGTAATGCTAATTTTAACCAATAGAGAAAAAAACTTCTATCAAAATATACAATTTCCATTACAGACTAGAAGGCTAATATTAAAAAAATAGTTGTAAGCCAAAAAGTTTGCTTATATGGATGACAGGCATCATCTCTTTGAAGCACAAAGCATCAAATAAGGTCTTATAAAAGATTGATGTGACCTTCTTCATTTGTAAGTTCTTGATAAATTCATAAAGCTTGAGTCTCAGTCTTTAGATCAAGATATATCCATGCTTCATCCAGATTTTCAGAAAAGGAGGAACCAAATAATTCAGAATCTCAAGTGGGATTTATGCTTTACCATGTACCTGAAAAACAGTAATAGGTTATTATGGTAATAGGAAGGTTTTAAATTTTAGAATTTAACATGTACAAGTAAGGTAACATTTCTCAAAACTTAAAATCAACAAGGCAACAAGATGTTTTGTTTTCTAAAAAACTAGAAACTTGATACTGTAACCTTTGAAAATATAAGGACTTGTGAAATAAGTAAGAAACATTCCTCTTATGAAATTTTATAACCTAAGAGCTTGTTTTGTCTTTAACATTAGTATCAGTTTCTAATCATCCACTTCAAGACTCCAAGAAAGGTACAGGTTTTAAGGAGCACCTCAAAGAAAGCAACAGATTCAGTAGTATTAATTTTGATCCTGTGAGTTCTTAATCACGCCAATTACAAAACTATTATTATTGTGAAGGACTTGAAGAACTTTACTCACACTAGCAATTAAAATAAATTTAAAAATTAAATTCCTCTCATGAACTTCCCATAACTCAAATAAATCCAGAGTTAGAGACATTTGGGTGGTGTAAAACACAGGGATCACTTGACCCAAACTCCCTGGGTAGACAGGAAATGAGGTTCAGAAAGCTCATTCATTAGACTAAAGTCTATGCCTTCTGACTCACAGCTTAGTGCTCCTTCTGACATGCTATAAACCTTTTCTTCATCTATTTCTGCAGCCAATATATCAAAGACACTAATTATCTAATATAGATCAGCATCAAGTTTGACAATGTTTGAAGAAGGGAACTGGGGAATATGGTTTACAACTTTAAGGAATTTAAAATTTAACTGACGAGACAAGAAAATTACTGTAATAAAGCATAGGAAGTATATTTTAGGATCAGAATTACCTATCCAATGTTTCCCAGAACCGTAAGAAAACTGGTCTATCCAAATGACGTTTGTGATAGCTGAGCTCTAATACTGTTACGTCCCATTTTTGAACATTTGGATCTAGACGAACTTCATCATACTTGAGATGGAAGGCTTTAACTATATGGTGGGCAGGGAGAAAAAATAATAGTTTGTGCTCAAACTACAATCGAAATTATGAAAGCATTTTGTAGAAGAATAAAAATATATATCCCACACAGATAATAACCAGAAAACAGAAGCAAAAAAAATCAACCTTTCTGGCATTAACTGAAGCTCCATTTATTACTAAAGTGATCTTTTAAATAGATGTTAAGCAGTGTAGTGTCATCAGAAACATTCAATTTAACAAATATTTAGTGAAGGAAGGTTTATACATGTCAGCCACTAGGTATTATAATGAAGAATAAGACAAGATAAAATGCATGTGGCTCAGTGAGGATATGGACAGTACAACAGCAGAGACACAAAAGAGCACCTTTTACCCAGACCTTGAATTCAGAAAAGGCTTGCTCAAGCAGTGATGTCTAAACTAGACCTACTGGTTAAGAAAGAAAGAAGCAAGCAGAGAATGAAAGTAACTCAGTTAGCAAGAGCATGCTTAAAGGGAAAATGCTTTAGTCTAAAAGATAAAGAAATGTAACAGAACTGCATATGCAAGTAATACAGAGAAGGGATAAAAGATTAAGACCACAGAGGTTCAGGGCATCGTTGGACTCATAGGCCATACTAGAGAGTTTGGACTTTATCAGAGTCTCCTACAATTCAGTAATCTAGAGGATGAAGAAGGATTTCAGCATAGAAATTATGTAGAAGAGAAAGATTCAAGAGATAATTGTGGAGTGAAAGCAGGATTTGATTAAAAAGAAAGAGGGAAAGGAAAAAGTTGCAATTAAAAAATTAACATCTGGCAAGTGCCTGCTATATATCATGCACTATTCTAGACACTGAGGATACAGCAGTAACCAAGGCGAAGTCTCCACCCTCAGGGAGCATGCATTCTCCTAATCATTAAACAGAAAACATATACTATTCAGACAGTAGAAAGGCACTCTTTGAAGAAAACCAAAGTTGAATAAAGTGTATGAGGAGTTATTTTAGATAAGGTGTCTAAGGGAGGCCACGTGCAGAGGTGATCTAGAAGCAGGTCATTGGAAAGTATTCCTGCAAAGACTTAGAATTCTGGGCAAAAGGAACAGCTGCAACCTACGTGCTGAGATGGAGGCAGACATGAGGTGTCTATGAAGAACTGAAACTTTTAGAAGGCAATGGCCTAATAAGAAATCTGGATTTGCCTCCAATGTGAGAGTGGTTCACTGGGAAGCCTAGAGGAAGAAGGTGATAACTCTGGGAAGCCAGTCACGGTGGTGCATGCCCGCAATCCCAGTATCTGGTGGCTGAGACAGGAAGGTTTTGAGTTCCAGATCAGCCTGGCTACACAGCAAGACACTACATCAAAACAACAAAGATAACAGGGGTTTGAGCTAGAGAAAGGACTTAGACTCTTCCTGTACCCTGCTAACCCAGGTGAACCACCCCAGCAAGCTGATCAGTGTGCTTGCAATCCTCTGCCACTACTGCAGCTCTGTGTGGCACACATGTATGTAAAATGTTTAGCCTTTCTTTTTTTCCTTTCTGAAAATTTTTTTTACTAGCATTATGGTTTTTGTCATCACCTGGTGCCCGGGATTTCTAAAGAGAAAACAATAAACATTGAACAATTTTTTGATAGCTATTTTAGGAATCCTTTGTTCCACAGTGCTTAATGGTTTTTGATGTTAACAACTAATCAAGGTTCAATTCTTGATGGAAATTTAAAATCAGTCATGGGGTGGGGGGGCAGATGGACAGAGAGAGGACACTAGACACATAATTGTTATTTCTAAATTATCTGCTTTTAGAAATAAAATTCTCTTCATCAGACACAAATTACTCATTTTGAATAATTTATCTAAACCAAAGTGCTGTATGTTTTATAAATTGGAAAATCTATTTTCAAAATATTATTTATATGTGAAAAAAATTTGTCAATTTTTTAAATTATTAAATTACTGAATTAAATGTAAACCAACATTTTAACACCTTCTATTCTGCTTCCTATATTTTTCCTTTTCTAATTTGCTTATTGATTTGCTTTAAATGACTGTTTAAAATACATATTAAAAAATAGTAATTTTTAAAATAATTTATCTGACGCCATCAAGGTCTATATTCTCCTTAATAACTTCAACAGATTTAATTTTTCTTCTTATGCTATTTATTTTTCTATGAGAATATTTTGCTGGTATATTAAAGTCTACAAAGTTTTTACTATGAAGAAGCTAATAGTAAGGGTTCTCTCATCAGACAAAACATTTTATCTGCATAAAGCAACAGTGCAAGTAAACTTATGCCAATATGTTACCATAAAATATCTTCCTTATTCTGAAAATTAAGTTTGTAACCCTCTGCAAGTTAAAAAAAAAAAAAAAAGACCCAGTTATACGGTGACACAATATACACTAAAACAAAGTATTTTACATGACTCAGAATTGCTTTTTGTTTTGGTGGTACTGGAGATTTGAACTCAGGGCCTCACACTTGCAAGAAGGCACTCTACCACTTGAACCACTCCATCAGCCTGGAATTACCCATTTTGAGCAAAATGCCTAAATGCTACCAACATTTTTGGTGGGGAGCATGAAGCCAAAGGAATAGGAAGGTGCCCTTTGAACGGTATTTAGAAACACTGAAGATGGCATGACAAACTGTTAGCACAGGCAGCTAGTTAGAAATTAACAGGACTGAGGAAACGCCTGGGCTGCAAGACTCCATTCCCCTGGGCAGAATCACAAAACACCAGATGGCCCACATCCGGGACTAACTATTAAGATAATGGCCCAATAATATCCTTCTTATCTAGCAGTCTCCATCCCAAGACCACACTTGCGCTGCAGTAGCATAACGACTTTCACTGGCAGCAATAAACCAGCAAGGGCAAAAAGGATCAAAAGTGAAGGCACCTGCCCGTACCTTCTCAAAGAATAGGTTGTACAACTTCCTATACTGAGTAGCCAGTGCACAGGTGCCAAACCATTTGGGGAGAGCCCTAATTTCTTGCCACCTAGTAACCACGCCCTATTGGGTATGAAAAATCCCAAGCACCCACAACTTTGAGGCAATTGGTCCTTATTTGAGATACCAGACTCATATCTCCTAGCAAATCACTCTGTGCTGTCTTCCTACACTTTGGGATTCTTTTGCTGCAGATGAAGCACTGTCTTAATCACAGACATCGTTCCCAAATAATAGAAATACCACTGGTAACAAAATGAAAAGCGACAACGTAATACAGAAAATTAAAAAGTTTTATCCAGTGGCACATGCCTGTCACCCCAGCTCCAGGAGACACAGAGATCAGGAGCATAGCAGTTCAAGGCCAACCTGGGCAAAAAGTTAGCTATGATCTTATCTCAACACACAAGCTGAGTGTGGCGGTGCACACCTGCATTAGCACACTGAGCTAGAGGGGAGGCATAGGTAGGATAAGTGCTTTGAGCAAAAGCAAGACCCTATCTAAAACAATAACTAATAGCAGGAAGGGCTGGAGGCATGGCTCAAGTGGTAGAGCACCCACCTAGCAAGCTCGAGGCCCTGAGTTTAAGCCCTAGCACTGCCAAAAATAAAAATAAAATTAATTTAAAACTTTAATGGTAACTAGCAAGAATCTGAAGAAAACCATCATTAAAAAACCATGAAGGCTGGGGATGCAGCTCAGTGGTAGAGCTTGCCTAGCATGTACATGACCCTGGGTTCAGTCCCCAGCACCTCAAAAGAAAAAAAATTGGGGTGGGGGAGTTTTGTGGATGGGACTGGGGTTTGAATTCAGGGCTTCACTCTTGCAAAGCAGGCTTTCTACAGCAAGAGCCACACCTCCAGTCCATTTTGCTCTGGTTATTTTGGAGACAGGGTCTTGCGCACTATTTGCCCAGGCTGACCTCAAACCATGATCCTCTGATCTCAGCCTCCCAAGTACAGGTGTGAGCTGCCAGTGACCAGCAAAGAAAAGGAATCTTGATCAACATATGTGTATAGCCACTCAACCATGAAAAAACTTTTTAAAGTTAGATCTAGTCACAGATTCAAATTTAAGATCTTTTGAAAAGATCTGATTAAGCAATTTTATACAATTCAATATTAAATATCTTCCCTAAAATTTGTATCTGATCATAATTAGGCAGTGTTAAGAAGAGTTACTTTTTTACCACAGCCTGTGGAGGCACTCCTCCAAATCCTGAATTTCCCCCATGCTGTATAGCTACTGTAATTCTGTACTACAAAGGAGAAACGCGAAAATGCGTGGGACTAGTAAAAGCAGGAAGACCAACTAAGAGCTAAAGACAATATATACTCCTAAGCTTCTCATTCAGGTAAATACTGAGAAAAATGAGGCCAAGAGTGAGGGAAGAGAAGACCGTAAACGTCATTTGGAACAGGCTGAGTTTAACACACCAATGGAACTTGCCAAGCAGTTATCTGGTAGATATTGAGATGCACAGGCTCCGAATATCAAGCTAGAGACCTAACTGGCTTTTATTTGAGGAGATACAGATGGATGGAACTGGCAGCTGTGAGATTTTCCTAAGAGGGCACTCAGAATGAAAGGAGAAGAGAAATGGGAGCACAAAGCGGACAGGTGCTAGCCAGAGAAAGATTGCCAAGGAAACCTGAGATAAAGTGAAGCAAGTACTTCAAAAAGAGTATTTTAAAATGAATCAAATTCTCATGGGGATTCAAAACTGTTCCCCCTTCGTGGGTCCCTAGTGACTATGGTGGGAACAGTTCTAGTGAGAGAAAGGGCCAGACAGACTACAGTGGAGTGAGAACTGACTAGACAGTGAATTGGTGGAAACAATTCTTCTGAAAATGTAGCTGCAAAAGGAAGAAAAACAGGTGAGGGTAAGGGTCAGGGTTTGGTTTTGTTGTTTGCTTTAATATGGAAAGGGAAGGAACATTTTGGAGGTGAAGCATTGGAAGTTTGAAGTCAGGGCACTGCACTTGCTGGGCAGGCCCTCTACCACTTGAGCCACACCCCCAGCTCTTTGGGTTTTAGCTATTTTTCAGAGAGGGTCTCCTGTTTTTGAATGAGCGGCCTGAACTGCGATCATCCAACCTGTGCCTCCCATGCAGCCAGAGTAGCAGGTGTAAATAACCATACTCCACTTGTTTTTTAAGACAGAGTCTTGTGGTTTTGCCCAGATTGGCCTAGAGCCACAATCCTCCAATCTCCACCTGTCACACTGCTGGGATTACAGGCACATATCAGCACACCTGACGCAAGAAAGAGCACTTTTAAATGCTGGCAGAAAGGAGCCAGTACAGAAGGAAGATTGAAGAGAAAGAACAGTTCATGGAAGAAAATCACTGATTACAGCTAAAAGAAAACACTCTATGTTCTTATCTGTTTTGGAAGACTAGCAATCTTAACAATAAAAACATTATTGTATTCCTAATGAAATGCAGAGAACATTTATATCTTGAAGATAACCTCATCATTTTTGTTACAACAGTACTCAAGGCAAGCCACATATGTAAAAAAACAGGCCTTTTGCATTCGCTGGCACTTTCACTGACTTCCCATTCTCTTCAGTACCAACAACTCTCTAAGAATTAGTCAGTAACAAGAGTTACTCAGAAATAGAGCTAGCCAATGACAATTAATACTGTAATTCATTTATTAAAACAAATGAAGGCAGAAAGTGAAAACTTTCAACTCTGGACAGTTTCATGGAAGAATCATGGTGCCACTAACAAAACTTAGTTGCTGAAGAGGTTAATTCCCACAGCAGTAAAATCTACATTTGTAATAAATTATCATTTCTAATGAGTACTTATTCCATGAGAATAAAATTTTTTAAATTAATTTTACTAATGTTGCTATTTTAAATGAGTTCTCCAACTGAAGAACAATTGGAAGAGTCCTTCCAAACAAACAGATTATATTGATCTATTTTGTTCTATCAATTTACACCAATGTAGGTTTAGTAAGAGAAATGATGGACATGAAACAGTTCACTCAGAGGGTGTTTTCTCCATTGCAGAGAATACAAGGTAAGTAAAGCAGAAGAGGCCTCCCTGGTGGTGGACCTTGTATTCTCACCAGGGATGACTTACAAAAAGATGTAAAAATTAGATGATGTCAAGCAACAGTAAGTACTATCAAGGAAATAAAACAACTTAGGCACAGCTGGAGGTGATGGTAATTTCAAACAGGATGGTCACAGGATTCTTTAAAGACAGAACACTTGAGCCTAAAATCTGAATGAAAAGGCCAACTGTAATACAATTATTCCAGACAATGGGAATAGCTGATAAATGGCATACTGCTACAAAGTTCTTGTCAGCAAAGTCAACCCATATAAAATTGGTTATTACTTAACATATGAATGTATGGAAATGTCACAGTGAAACCCACTAATCTGCACAATTGATATACATTAATAATTATAATTTTTTTAAAAAATGAGTGCCAGGCATGGTGGTGCATGTCTATAATCCCAGTACTCAGGAAGCTAAGGCACAAGGATCACAAATTTGAGGTCAACCTGTGCTACACAGTGAGACCTTGTCTCAAAAAACCAATCAACCAACCAACCATAACACCAAAACAAAACAAAAAACCCTAATAATCAATTTTAATAAAAATGTGCAAGCATACAAAAATATTAATGACTTTAGGTGACCTAAAAATAATTAACGTTGCAAGATAAGCAGTATTTACTTTTATACACAGCCACACAGAAAATATTAATGCATAAAAAGGTTTTAAAAGATATTCACTGGTGGTTAAAAGTTAGTATTACACACACAGCCACATATGGCTTTCTGTTAAAGAACACATCGATACTGAATAAGCAGTAGATACAGAGAGTGCCTTACTTTTAGCAAATATGTCAACTGGTGATCCATCAGGCAAAAGCCAGGGCCAACCTTTGAACTGCCAAGCAGGACCTTGAACAAAAACTGCTACAACCCGGTCCCTGTAAGTAGAAAGGGAGAGAAGGGGATAGAGCAAGAGCATCTTAAACTTGAGCTTTATTTACTGCAAACTGCTAAGAAAGAGGCTCATAGCTATTCCTGTGATACAGTCTCCTATCAATCCTGTTGGCAAGATAAACAGTCTCACTTTAACTTTTCAGCATGTCACCATCACAGCACATCACAGCACATTAATGACTGCCATGCCTTTCAGACATAATTACAGACACAATAGCTTTCTGTAGGGTCCACTTTTGTACTGGAATAGAGATTACCAGTTCATCTAAAATACTTGATGCTGGGTGCAGTGGCTCATGTTTATAATCCTAGCCACTCAGGAGGCGGAGATTGAGGAGATCACAGTTCACGACCAGCCTGGGCAAAAATATCATGAGATCCCCATCTCAACCAATAAAAGCTGGGTTTGGTGGCTGGCACCTGTCACCCCGGCTAGGCAGGAAGCAAAAATAGGAAGATAGCGGAACTAGGCCAGATGGTGATACAGGCCAGAATGGGCATAAATTTGAGACCCTATTTGAAAAGTAGCTGGGCTGGGGGCAGAGCTCAAGTGGTAGAGTGCCTGCCTAGCAAGCTTGAGGCCTGGAGTTCAACCCCCAGTACCACCAAAAAATTATATATATATAATTTATATATAAATAAATTCATACATGTATACAAATATGTATATAGTTTTAAAAGAAAATAATTTAAAATTAAAATATGTTTTAAATGTTCCCCAACCATTTTATGAAGCCCCATGTCTTATTTTTTAGTTCTTCGATTATCTGGGAAGAAATCCTAAACAGAAAAACCATCTCAACTTTTATTCTTTTTCCAACTGTTCTACAACTATTTCATTTACCCTAAATGCAATAAGCTAGTTAGTTTTGTAAAGCAACTTGTTTTTTCTAGCCATTTAAACTGGTTTTACAGGAGAAAAAAAAAAATCTCTTTCTAGGACTGGAAGTGTGGCTCAAGTGGTAGAGAGCCTTCTTTGTAAGTAGGAAACCCTGAGTTCAAACCGCAGTCTCATTCCACGCCCCCCCAAAAAAATTTCTTTCTATACTCTATTATTTGCATAATATTTAATTAAATTGAGAAACATAATAGATATTGCCATAAATAGTTTAAGCCTGTAACTAAAGAGCTGGGAACAAAACATCAACAAGAGATAAACATTAGTAACATTTACGATGAGCATTTGCTATGCACCAGTGCCATTTTAGGCAGTTTCCATTAAACATGTAAACATGTTTGTTCTTCAAAACAATCTGGTAGGATAAACATTATTGCAAGCCCCTTTTCAGATGAGGAAACACAAGTGCAAGGGTAGATGAGAGACCAGCCCACTACACAGAAAGCAAAAGGGAAAAGGACTGAAGAAGATACTGAAAGGAGGGAGAATAAATGATTAATCTTGGGTGCTGGCAGGTGATTTTTCCTGTTTGAGGACTGACACATCACGAGAATAGTCATGTCAATTTATTATGGAAACAGTTTTGACCTTGCAACTCCGTGGGAGGATCTTCAGATCTGCAGACCACAATGTGATAACCACTGCCTCAGATGAAAACTCTACTGAACCATGGTGACTCCCTATTGAAGTGAAAGACCTATAGCAATGATCAAAGTTGCTGAGAAAAAACACAACTCTAAAATTTTTTACTCAGCTCAAGATTTCTGAGGCTAAAATTAAATCTGAAGTTTAAAAACTTTCTCCCTTCCATGGCATACATGCCCCAAACTGCTAAAAACATCTTCAGCAGTGCAGCACTTTATTAAGTAAACTGCACAATGTTGAGGGGCTGCGGTTTTACTACAACGATAGCATTACTGATGACCAAATGAGATCTATACAGATTATCAGTTTTCAAAGGAAGAAATGACAGAATAGATAAGACAGATAAAGACAATCTTACCAGTCTTGAGGCATGAGTTTAAGGGGTTGGTCCACTACTCTGTAAGGTACTGTGACACTGATTGCAGTGCCTCCTGGCTGCATCTGATCTTTTCTTCTCTGTATTAGAGTTTCATTTTCTCGTTGACAGCCTTGTTTCTTCTTTTCATCTGATGGTACAAATCTTTAAACAGAGAAAAAGTCAAATGTATTCAATGTGATAAAACTGGGAAAATATATGTTGAAATGATTTTTTAATATTAATGTTTTAAGCTAAAAATGTTCAGTATGCCAAAAAGAACTCAAACTCACTTAGGATCAATGTGTGAACACAACTTCTATTCTTCTAACTAGCACTTAGCATTTTCCACATTAAGTTGTGAATTCTCAAATGCAATTTATTAGAGGCAAACCTTATGATAAAGGGAAGCTTAATTAAAAATCAAAAGGCCATCTGAAAGTAAGATACTGTTGTGGCTGGACTGGAGTCTTCCATAGGCAACTCAGCTTATCCCAGAGCTTCAGAAAACACCCTTTTTCCTATTTTTATGCTTCAACAGAATTAGAAAAATGCCATCAAGCTTGAGTCGTTCTGATGACTTTAAATTAGGGGAATCAGTGTACAACAAACATCTATCTTATTAAGTGCCACTAATACGATCAAATAGCAGCATTTATCAATCCTACCTGGTGGGTCAACTCTCCACTGCGCCCGAGCAGACACTCTCAGAAACACTTGCATTTTGGACAGCTGCTGCCAGCTCTAGAATCTGCTGATTTTCTTTACTCTTATTTTGTGGGCCTTGCACTTGCCAGGCAGGCGCTCCACCATTTGAGGCACACCCCAAGCTTTTTTGGCTTTAGATTTTTTTAAACAATGTTTCACAATCAGGTTAGGGTAATATAACCAACGTACTGAGCACCATTCTGCTTTGAAAAGTTAGGAGAGATAAAGGGGCTAAGAAGGTACATGAGAGCCTACACTTGATAGAGTTCTTTGAAAACTTTCACCACCACACTCTTGACTCACCACACAATAATGCTAACTCTAGAAAGTTTTTAGTAGATGATGACAGTGGTAATACTGAACTGTGTATCTGAGCTAACTGATCTCACATCATTTCACAGCCGATAAATGAATTACGATTTCCATATCATTTAAAAATTTGCCCCAAAATAATCATTTGCTGCTTAGAGATTTTGGTTATTTTAGCAATGAAGCTCATACAGAAAATGTCAAATATAATACTAACACTTTGAATAATAAAACACACTATTTCAAAAATTCATCATTCATCCATTTTTGAAAGCCAAATTCTAATAGAAAGCCACACTATAAAAAAAAATGAACAATATACGCAATATACAATATACAAAAGGTGAATTCCTGCACTCTCAGAACAAACTCACAGAACAAAGCCATGAGAAAGATGTTTTCCTTTATATAATTTGTCTCAATCAGTCTCTACTTACATGGGGTTTAAAATGTTTAAATTCTTAAATATAATACTGTACCTCTCTCTTTTCTGGCTTCTGAAATATTGTTAAAAGTATAAAATTATTTACAAGCTTTAATAATAATGAATTATAAAATATATATAAATGAATGATACAATACCTAACTAAAATAAAGTCTATGAAACACCTAATTCAACTTCTGTTGCCTAAAAAAATATGAGTTATACAGCATCTGCATGTTCACACGTTGGTACTCTAAGTTTTATTACAGTTCAGAGTTACATAGTTTTTAAATTAACCATAGTACTAGAATTTTTTACATCTGATCACATCAAGGTATTTCCTTAGAATAGTAGTAGCTTTCTCCATAAGCAACAAAAAGCCAGGCGCTTGGAATTCTCACTACTTGGGAGGCTGAGATCAGGAAGATCACAGCTCGAGGCTAGTCTGTGTAAATAGTTCAAGAGACCTCATCTACAAAATAACCAGAGCAAAATGGACCACCAAAAGGGGTGAGGGGAGAAGCTTTACTTCAAAATGCTTTTTCAGACTTGATTACTACTCCACAGAAGGCCAATATGCATTTTACCTGTTTACCCTACATTACTTCATTAAATTCAAGACATTGTACCACCATGAAAAATAACTGCCAGTTAAACTACAGAACAGTACTACCTCAATGATACTGTTTGCAAGTCAGAACCACTATCCCTGTGAGGCATTGGCTGTTTCTTTCAAGTTGGAGTGCACTGTTTGATGTCGTGACAGGAACTCCTTCCATATTTATCTTAAGAACAAAAGGCAGCAGAGTCCCATCTACTGGTTCAGGCTCTACTCAGGTGCATCTACTAGTTCCATAAAGCACCTGGCTGTTGCTTTACAAGAAAGTAAGGGACTGAGACCATTCCTCCCACAACGAGGAATTCACAAATACCAAATTTATACTATGTGGCTTCATTTCAGTTTATTTCTGCACATACAACATTTTTATTGGCATAAAATTTACATACTATGACATGTGTAAATTAGTTTCAATAAATACACACCCAATGTATGCACCATTCTGCTCAAGATAAAGAACATAATGCATTCATCCACTAGGGTGCCTTATGCATCTTTCAGTCAGTCAATTCTTACCACCCTTCTCTCAACGAACAAGCTATGTTTTGACTTACATCACAATACATTTGCTTTGCCTGAACTGAGAATTCAGACACACAGACTCATACAGGATATATTCCTTTGCACCTGGCTTCTTTCAATCAATTTAATGTTTCTGATACACATCCATGCTGTAGGGCCTTTCTTTTATTGAGGTAGAATTCTATTATTATAATAATGAAACTTGTTCATCCATTCTCCTACTGGTGGATATTTTGGGTAGGACACTAATCCCATTTATGAAGGCAAAGTTTTCATGACTGAATTACCTCCAAAACCCCCCACTTCACCTAAGAAATAAAAGTTATTTAAGCATCTGCATGTTTACATATTGGTTGCTCTAAGTTTTTTCAAGTTCAGAGTTACATGTTTTTTCATTAATCTCACACTAGAATTTTTACATACTCTGGAATTTTAATTTTACTATCATCATAGTAGCAATTAGGCTTCAACATACGAAATTTATGCGGGTTGGTGGGTGGAAAGAGACATAAACAATCTATACCAAGGTGGTTCCAAAATATGGATTATTGTTGATTATCAGCATTGCTTTCGTGAACATCTACTTTCATTTCTCTTCTAGAAACACCTTTAAAAAGAACTGTTAGATCATGGGGTGTATTTTTTATAAGAAACTGCCAGAAAGTTTTCCAAAGCAGTTGTACCATGCAATACTTCCACCAAGCTGCATGAGGGCTCTGGTTTTTTAACTTCAGCCTTTTGCTGGGTGTGCAGCAGTGGCTTGCTATGTGCTCTATGTTAGCTTCTGTAACGAAGGGTTGAGTTCCTTACATATTCCTGTAACAGATCTCTTGCTAGAAATAACAAGAAATATGTACTAAGAATATTCCCAAAACTGAAGACTCCGTCAGGGCACCAGCTAAGACACCTTTAAGATGTCATCAATTTTAGATAAACTAAATCATGAAAATAAATCTACAGCTTAGAATCAATAGGGTACACAATGCTCCAGCCAACTAACCAAAATGCTGTACACTGCAACTACATATTGCAGCATGTTTAGTTTGGCTACACTAGGCCAATTGCTAATTATCAATGTATCCTATTCCATCAGGAGTATGAGCTGATGAGAGCAATGACCAGTGGAAAAGAATTTAGAGTGCTAAAGGAAACACAACAAAACTTAAGCCTGTTCAGTGTTAAGCAGACCTCACTGTTAATACACCACTCAGTGGTGTTTCATTTCTATGCCTCTCCCTGTACAGGAACTATGAACAAATGGGTACTGGCCTATATATGTAAAATACGGTAATTGTCTATAGTTCATAAGGTGGCATCTGGAGGGACAGTGCATGTGATATTTAAATATGAATGGGATAATTCTGGTTTCCTAGCCTACCAAATTTTAAATGTATCTCTATGGTGGACTTAACATTTATATAATTCTAAGTTTAATCCGTGTTTATTTCACTATGAATCTATGAATTCATCTTCTTTATGCAAAGTAGCATTAATTTTGTACATTTTTTTAACGGTCTTTTTTTATTACCACAATTGTCACAGTTTGTTTTTTCCCTAGTAGACTTCAGGTGTCCTGGAGGCACAGCAGTCATCTACATAGGGCATTCACACCAAATAGCATGCTATTTTGCACTCGGCACAGGCTCAGATACAGGCTGAACTGAAAAGTCAATCTGAAGGAAATATTTAGATAGAATCATGTTATTCGAGATTCCCAAGTGCTCTGACTTCCATTAGAAACTATGAAATTTACATTTAATACACATTTTGAAAAATGTTTAAGGAACAATGACATTAGTTAACATTAACAAATTATGACCTTAAAAAAAATGTCTTTATTTTCCTTCTGGCATGAATATGACAGACTCCCTAAGTAACTGGAATAATTCCCAAAAAACTAAAAATTATTAATAAAATATAAAAATTCTTAAAGGCATCTCTTAGTTAGCTAGCAAAAAGTAACAAATGTCTGGGCAAAGACTGAGTAGAAGGGAACTCAAAAAGCAACAATGACACTGCAAAGTCCTAACCATAGAAGACCGTGCAAACCAATTAAATCTGAACTTTGTTTTTCACATTTCACTGGGCTTCTAGAATAGGAAACAAAGCTCAAATTCTGCTCAATGAAGGGAATCTAATAAGAGTTCCTTTCTTCATAAACTGGGACTCTCCAGGGGTAAGTTCAGTGCAATGGTAATTAGAAATAAACCCACTTGCCCGTCCACTTTTCTCCTTTACCTCCAACCTTAACCCCTATGCTGGCAATTGCGAAGAAAATTCTAATGTCTCAAAATTGGATGTGCAGCAAAAACAATCAAAATCTGGATGTTAAAAATCTCAAAATGAGGGCCAGATGTGGTAATGCACATCTGTAATCCCAGCTATTTGGATAACAGTGTTCACGAGGAGTGCAGTCTGAGTACAGCCTGGGCAAAAAGTTAGCAAAACTATCTCAATCAACAGACCAGGAATAGTGGCGTGTGCCACTGGTCAGAGACCAGTCTAGGCAAAATGTGGGACCCTTCCTGCAAAGTAACTAAAGCCTTATAAAAAAGAGGGGTGGGATGTGGCTCAAGTGGTGGA